TCTATCTATCTATCTGTCTGTCTGTCTGTCTGTTAATATTTATCTATTTATCCATCTATCTTTCTATCTATCTATATGTATGTCTCTCTGCCTGTCTGTTAATATCTATCTTCTGTCTATCTACCTATCTATCTATCTGTCTGTCTATCTGTTAATATCTATCTATCTATCTATCTATCTATCTATCTATCTATCTATCTATCCATCTTCTATCTATCTATCTATCTATCTATATAAATATCTGTCTGTTAATGTCTATCTATCTATCTATCTATATATATATCTATCACTTCATTATCTGAGCCGCTATGAAGACTAATTCCGAAACCGCTTGGCTTAATCTGACCAGTGTGTCACACAATCGTCGTCAGACGGCCTTTCTTTGCGTATTTACCCAAAACGAATCTTGAAATGACATTAAGCGGCTAATGCCTTAAAAAAGATAAAAACCAGTAAATAAATGCATCAGACAAAACCAATCACTTTTTTTGTTTTCTTAAAAAGAAGATCAACGATAAAACCCCAAGAATAATACAAACAGCAAATGAAGTAAAGAATTTAAACAGTCAACTTGGAATCGGTTCACTTGTTCCGAATTAAAGTCTTCAATCGACTCTTACGTATTGTGTTTTTTACGGATTCTGTCGATTCAATAAGAACTCAGTTTGGCACAACGTCATAATTGCAGAGCATAATATAAAATTGACTCTGTAGGATTATTTGCGAAGTAACCACATTCGTCATAATGTTATACTTATGATGCACTTGGATTCAGACCGAAATGATCATGCGAGAATAACATATTAATCTTTAGCCGACTTTATTCAAATTTATGGAGTTAAATTTAATATTGCACAAGGCCAGTACAGTAGCAGAGATCGTTGATGACATACTTGTTACATGATCAGAAAGCGAAAGATCTAACCACACGGTCAAGCACGTATATAAGCTTCATATTGACTTTTCAGTCAATTTTTATAGTATCGTCTGAGACAAATTGTTCATCTTTGAAATAAGAAATTGCCCACCATGATCTTGGTGTGCATTTGCCGGTGTAATGAGCACGGAAGCAGCTATTACTTCATCAGGGTTGTCTTTTTAAAAAGCGGGTAACCACTACTTGGTTATCTTTCTCGGGTGTCTCACTTGTAAAACCAGTTGCTGAAAAGATATGTCTAGACAAAGTCACTAAGAATATTTATTGACAAATTCAGAAATGATTTTCCGATGACATTAGTTTCCAATTAGGTATCTATGCCGATGATTGTTTACTACTGTAAATACTTAGTTACTTAACTGGAAATTAATGGCAATCAGTTTCGACAGTCTGTTGTTAACTGGGACAAGGAATGACTTTTAAAGTTTATCGCTTCCAAAACAAAACTGATTGATGCTTAACTTCAGGAGAGCGACATTTTGTGCCTTGTTAGTCTCAAGCTTTCCACTGACATGAAGTGAAGTGATTATATTGAATCAATTCCTCGGTTTACTGCTAGGAAATTTGTTTCGCTACGTCGTGCCAAAACAGTTCTTCTCGGTAGAATCTATCCTTCACCTTTATAAATCTACTTTTGTCCGTATATTGAATACTGTTGCAATATCTGGTCTGGTGCCCCTGATATTCATCTCGAGGTTCATGACAAAATTCAAAGGACCTGTAATGTAACCGATCCTGACTCGGTATTTACTGTGACCAAGTAGTTGGATAAGGAATAACAAAACAAAAGGTTGTAAATAAATAGTGTATTGAACGGTAAATACAACAGAAGAGTGCCTATCGGTTGACCAGCGTTCAGTCTATATTTAACACTCTCTCCACGTGGGATATATATAGCACAAGGCCGAGTTTAACGTGGGTCATCCGAAATCGTAGACTCGGCCAAAAAATTTCCGTAGATCCTGCATGAACGAGTTCGGGTCCTTCAACCTCCCCAGACGAAACTCTGTCCTTCCGTACAGCCTCGTCCGGGTTCCTCTCTCCCAAAAGCAGAGATTTCGACAGGAGCTGTGAACAGTCACAGCTTCGGTAGAACAGTCTATATCAACGTTTCCCCCGAGGCTTACTTTTCCTACTACTTTATAGTAAGAGTTCATAAAAGTCCCATGAGAGGGAAGACACCCCAATAGTATCTCAACTTTAAATTCTTTTTTTGAGTTGCAGTTACGACCAAACACCAGGTTCGTTGACAATGTGTAGTTTCTTTCAGTCAAACACTTGTGGGTTAAAAATTACCTTTCGTCCAGATACACACGATGGAAGAACAAAACAATTTCTAGCAGTTAACCAGAATTTATTCTTAGGTAGTAACTTACTTCTCTCAGCGAGCGAAGGCGGGTTGAGGGCTAAATGTGGGTGGGACAGATGTGCAGTTCAGCAGCCGTCGTCTGTGTCTCTCTGCATGACCCATGTTCTACCTTCTGTTTTCCGGGGTTCGTCGAGTCGAAGATTGACATTTTTCTCGGCGCCAATATTCCAGCCCTGTTGCGTTGCAGCTCAGACCCAGCTTCGTTGATAGGGCGCAGTTTCTTTCAATCAAACGCCTGTGTTTTAAAAATCAGATCGTTCTCCAGTAGTGATGAACAAAACAAATTCTAACAATAAACCTGGTTTTATTCTTGGGTAAACGAGAGAAGACGGGCTGAGGCGTAAGGGAGTTGCGCAGTTGAGCAGCCATCGTCTATGTCTTTCTGAGTGGCCCGCTTCGTTCTTTTTGTTTTCCTTAGCGGGGGGGGGCAGTTTTATAGATAACAGTCTTCTTTGTCTTGTCATCTTCGTCTAAAAAAGTAATTCATGATCCTTCCGCCACTTTCTCTCAGTCTGAGCCTCTTGCTCTGTACTGTGAAGTTGACTGATAGCCATAGGTCGAAAGTAAATGTTCTGAAGTGTGAAACCTTCTAGTGTGTTTATTTATTGACTAAATCTGTTCAGACTTCTATGAGATTAACCCTTGTGTAATTCGGTCTTCGTTAGACGCACTCTGAAAACCACTTCGAACAAATTGACTTTCGTAGCACTCGTCTCTGCTCCAATTAGTTCAATGTTTAGGTGACCCTCTCGATCCCAGTCACTACTAGGAAGGTTTTCTATATTATTTTATCGAAATTGCTTTCTTGAGCATACGGGACAAAACTATCTAAACCATTTCTTTAAGAAAGTCTATCACTTATTAACGTTTGTCGACCCGTTATAGTTTTTTTAATCATTTCACCCCAAGTAAGGCGGAAATGCTACTAGTCCGCAGGTGGTTACAGAGAGTGAAAATGAGAGAAATGAGGAAGAATTGAGGAAAGGATAAAAGACGAACGGGATTCAAGAAGATAGAATATGGCGATTGACGTTGCAATTAAACTTTTGAACATTGTAGTTGTCAGGGAAACAAGTAATTGGAAAGAGGGAATTGCGAGAAAATATACTGTTGGAATAGAAGTGGCGGATGCAATTTACTATTTCAACAGTAAACGGGTGGGACCTAAATGCCAATCTAGTAGCACGCTTGTTATTAACCCATTACCTGCCATGAGCCCCATTTGGGGATCTGTTAAAATTAAACTCACTGCATGTTATTCCTTGTATTTATATTGAATTGCTTACATGCATTGCATTTGCAGAGGTATATTTTACAACACTTAGCATTTAAAGTTTTTATTATTAGCCGTAAGAAGACACTTTCTCTCGTAATTTTATATTTCACGAGTAGAAAAAAAATGACTATTTTGAAAAGTATTTTTTTATTATTTCTAAGCAATAGTATTTTTTTATTATTTCTAAGCAATATTATTTTTTGATGTTTTATACACATATATATTTGATGTTCTAGTTTCTATAAAACTGACAATGATAACTACTGAAATTAACATAAGAAATAAATAAACTCCTAAGACACCTGTCTGGGCCACAAATGCGCATTAAAAAATTTGGTAGTTAATGAGTTAAAATTCGGTACTCTATCGTAGAGATGTTCTGGTAGTGTTGCGGTTATCGACGTGTAACTTGGAACGGTGTGATACGAGCCCATATTCCGGGGCTACTCTGTTGAGTTCACTGTCGAAAAAGTGATGAATCAATCTCTTTTTCATTCAGGCATGGATTAAGAGTAAAGCAGTCATGTTTCTAGCCTTGGTAGGAAACCAGTCTAAAAGAAAAAAAATCTGAATTCCAATATGTGACGACAGAAATTGGATGATCACTCCAATATTTCTTTCAAGAATCGATGACAATTCACAGACTCTCAAATGTTTGGAAGGAACATAGAATTAAAAAAAAATGAAAATAACCTCTAGATATGCCATCGAGATTAATGCTGGAAAAATAAAACAATCTCATGACGAAAGATGAGAATTTTCAAATGATAAAATTCAGTGGTCAAGCACTTAAAGTGGTCAGCCAATTCAAATATCTTGAATTGATTATCAGTGAAGAGGCCTCTAGAGGAGAAATACGTTCAAGAGCTGTGCAAACAATGACAGCTGTCGCAAAACTAAAAAAACATTTAGAAAGAAAAGATCATCTGCTTGAAATAAAAAAAAAACTAGACTGTTGCGTGCATTGGCCTGAATCTTTCTGTACGCCAACGAATCATAGGCATTGACAGAAATATCTCGAAGAATCAAAGCATTAGAAATGAAACCCCACAGAATCATCTTAGGCATTTCAGATGTCGTCAGACAAGAAACAGGCCCGTTGGATGAAATCCTCCAGTAAAAGCAATTTGAAAGGCTCTGGAAGCAATCCTTTTCATACCATCCTACATGTTACCATTTTTCGCAAAAGGAAATGAGTCAGAGAAAAAATGGGCTGAGAACATCAGTGAATGGACTAAAAAGTCATTGGCAGGAACACAGGCATTTGGAAGATGCTGATCATGCGGCTGGGCATTGACCCAACGACCGCACCCGGCCATGGAACTGATGATGATGATGATGATGATGATGATCTGCATTATGACGTCATGCACTCGATACGTCTGAAAAGAACGTATTAAGCAAATCTTATGGTGAAAATGAGAAAGAGCGAAAATATACATATGCATTTTCTCTCTCTCTCTTTCTCTGTCTCTCTCTTTCTCTCTCTCTCTCTCTCTCACTCTCTCTTTCTCTTGCACCAAGTTACACCAGGAACTTCATTTTAGTAAAGTGTGCTTATCTCCAAACAAATTTCCGGTAATATTATCACACTTTTTCAGCTTGAATGATGAAAGGTTTGGTTTGCATTTACCTTGGCGCGGTGACAAAATTTTTGAGTTTTTGCCTTCATTCTTGAGGACTTCTCTCTCTCTCTCTCTCTCTCTCTCTCTCTCACACACACACACACACACACACAAACACGCACACACACACTCACTTTCTCTCTCTCTCTATCTCTCTCTCACACACACACACACACACACACACTCTCTCTCTATCTATCTCTCTCACACACACATACAAACGCACACGTGCACACACTCTGTCTCACACACATACACTCTCTCTCATACACACACTCATACACGCACTCTCTCTCTCTCACATACACACGCACACTGACCCTCTCTCGCACACACACACACGCACACAACTCTCTTACACACACGCACACAACTCTCTCTCACACGCACACTCTCTCACACACACGCACACACTGTCTCTCTTACACATGCGCAAACACACTCTCTCTCTCACACACACACACACACACTCTCATTCACACACGCGCACACAACTCTTTCTAATACACGAAAACTCACACACTCTCTCTCCCTCACACACAAACACTCTCTCTCACACACACTCTCTCTCTCGCTCACGCACACACGCTCTCTCTCTATCTTGCACATGCGCACACACACTCTCTCTCACACACACAAACTCTCTCTCACAAACACACGCACGCACACTCTCACTCTCTCTCTCACTCTCTCACACACACACACACACACACACAGAAGAGGTACGTTTAAATAAATATCACGTCTTTCTTTGCAAAGAAACTACAACAAATCTAGAGAGCACAAATACCACGGCCAAATAAAACAACTTTTCGGTTATAAAACATTACTTTTTCCACAAAATCGACGCTATTGATCATGAATTGTAGCCAGGGATCAATGACAGCCTGTAAACACGTTCGTTAAAAATCTGCATCAGCAAAAGTGACCCACACAACCCTCTCGTCACCATTGAAACTCATAATCCACCACCTAACTGTGCTCACCTCTATTGTTTGGTCTCCTTAAAAGTTTACTAATTATCGATAAGTATCAATGGGTGCATTTTTTTCCACATTGAAAATTCTGCTTTGAATGCACTTTCATACCAGAAGCCATTTTCCTAGAGTGCCGTTTTAAAATACACCTTATTCAGGGTCATTTTCCAAACAGCCTTCAAAGCCCTGTTTCGGTTTCGCCATAAGCTGAGTAGTTGCGCGCTTCAACGATAATATCTGTTAAATGGTAGATATCTTCGGTTGGCAAATATAGACAGTGTATGTGTGAACTGCTGACATACCAAGATGATGTGATCTTTCTTCACAATATATGACACACCCAACGGCCACACAGTAAAGAGACCTACTCAGTGATGCCTTGCGACTCAATCCCACCAAATGAGCAGGGAATGAATAAAGTACTTAGTTCAAAATTCTGAGAGGGTTACCAACTATGACGACATCTGAAGAAGGACGAAAAGCTCAAAATGTCAGGAGTATAACAACAAAGATGAGCATTCTGGTCCGCTTAATAAGTTAAATCACAGCAAGAACTCATAAAGATTAGAAAACTTACAGTGATGTCGCCATTAACAAGTAAGTCCGTTAAATGATTACGACTTAATAAATAAAAGAGTACTGATCATCGGCAAATTATTTCCTACCGTAGTGAAAGTGATAGATTGCTTTTTATATGCATCGATAAAAATTATCTAACCGCGAAACAGGCTCACAGAATTCCATTTTCAGCAAATCTTATTTCAAGTATATATATTAATCCATATGTTTACAGAATGTTTGACACAAGGTCATGTTAAAATGAAACGCTAAAATCTTGTTTGAAGTTCATAAAATTATTTCATCACTACGGAAGAAAACCAAGCACATTGGGAGCATTTTGTTTTCCCAGTTGGAAAGAAACTCCAACTAAAGACATCCCAATTGAATGCACCTATTCCATTGTACATGATACTGCTGGAGTATCAAAAGGAACTTAAATAACATTGAACATGACAGACAATAAAGAAAGAGAACCTTTTTACCATAGTTCTTATGTTCCTGAAGGGTTTATTTCTGCTGTTTTAGTTTATTAAATAATTTGATGAAAATGCTTGTGGGTCTTGGTATATTTAATCGTCTTATTTTTAAAGACTTAGGATCTCATTGTTATTGCTAAAATAGTATTTCTCAATAAACAGATCAATATTTGTTGGTCTAAATACGAATTGAGAGGTTTTTACGATTTTATTTTGACAAATATCGTCATCGGTCAATATCATATATACAGACAACAAATGTAATTTTTTTTTTTTAAATAATGAAGCATTTCTGTACAGCCAAAACGGTAGCTAACCAAGAAAAAGTAAGGTCATTTTCAGATCTCAAATTAGCTAAAATAAAGATGTTTAGTCTCTCGACACCGTTTATTTATTTATTGTTGAGTAGTGTTATGCAAATGATATTTATTGTATATAAAAATACAATTATGGCACAAGGCCGAAAAAAGCGGAGGGGTTGAGGCTGGTCTTTACTAACTATCCTATACCTAGCTAATTTGATTCACGACCCATTCACTTATTACAATTTGCACATTCACCACAAAAACTCGTCCGTCGCCAACCAGTACTCCATACACCATAATCCCCTCAAGGGGGGCCTACAAAACGCACCCCATGCCATAAAAATTTAATCATTTGATCATAAATTATATATAAAAATCTAAAGATGAAATAATGAGTGGGAAGGGAGATGAACCCAATAATAAACTAAACATGAACAAAGTAAACTAAACCTAACTGATGTTAGTAGGGCCCGTCCAACCCTCAAAAAAGAGAGGCCGCTGTATTCTGCCCATTGGACAGAATCAAGAATCTCTCTCGCTAAGGGAGTGGGAAAAGGAGAAAATATACAATTTATTATACAAATGTATACACGGAGATAAAATAAAATTTATATCATTAATATCATGACGTAATATTATGACGTAATATTATGACGTAATACTTACTAACAGCTTATGTATAATTTAAATATTTTTTCGTTTTGCTTTCTTTTTTCGTGTAGATGACAGGAGATTTGTAATTATGAATATCTGGAGTGTCACTAAAGGTGGGAAGTTAAAGATATTACTTGTTCTTACTGGAGTATACGAGTCAAAAATGGATCTGTTCGAAGTTCAGATTTCCAGCTCGTCAACTGCCGATTATTTTCAGCGTGATACGAACGGGTAAAGTCATATTAAAATGATCATAGTAATACAAACCGGCAATTTATAAGGAAATATTCACCATTCATTGACTGAACAACCAGTGCTACTCGAGTTAAGCTTTTCTTTACTCCTCAGCTGTCGGGCTGGGATCAAAGTGTCGTATCTGTTCTAATCTCTAATGGTAATGATAATGTTAGCCGATTCCTTAAAAGGCAATATTCACTGTTTATTGTCCAAGTAGGCAATGATGCTTTCGTTTGAATTTTATAAAATCTTTCCGTTGAAACAATTTTTCAGGAAAATAGATTGCTTAAGTCCAGTAACTATTATCCATTTTTCCATTATTGATTGGAACATCCATTTTGTACTTATTTGTTTGTTCCCGGTTTTAGTTGTTGCTGATCTTGGTAGTCCTTAAGTGATGTCCTTTCATGTTCTGTAGAACTAACACATGAGGTTCAGAGAAGGATGGTGCTCACTAAGACCTACAGAGTTCATTCGCTCAAAGCCATGTTTAAGAATAGTTCTGCGAAAGCTCTTCTATAAAGCTGACAGTTTAGATATTTCCGAACGAGTTTTGTGTCATATTTACATTATTCGGACTACTGTCCTCATCTTTGTCCTTATCTTTGGCGCCACATTTATTACAACGTTTCGGCCTTTCAGTATCTGTCTATATTTCTGAGATGAGGTATTATGTACACTACTTACATTATTCAGACTATTTTCCTCATCTTTGTCGCCATATTTATTACAACGTTTCGGTCATTCAGTATCTGTCTATATTTCTGAGATGAGGTATTATGTACACTATTTACATTATTCGGACTCTTGTCCTCATCTTTGTCGCCATATTTATTACAACGTTTCGGCCTTTCAGTATCTGTCTATATTTCTGAGATGAGGTATTATGTACACTATTTACATTATTCGGACTATTTTCCTCATCTTTGTCGCCATATTTATTACAACGTTTCGGCCTTTCAGTATCTGTCTATATTTCTGAGATGAGGTATTATGTACACTACTTACATTATTCGGACTATTTTCCTCATCTTTGTCGCCATGTTTATTACAACGTTTCGGTCTTTCAGTATCTGTCTATATTTCTGAGATGAGGTATTATGTACACTATTTACATTATTCGGACTCTTGTCCTCATCTTTGTCGCCATATTTATTACAACGATTCGGCCTTTCAGTATCAGTCTATATTTCTGAGATGAGGTATTATGTACACTATTTACATTATTCAGACTCTTGTCCTCATCTTTGTCGCCATATTTATTACAACGTTTCGGCCTTTCAGTATCTGTCTATATTTCTGAGATGAGGTATTATGTACACTATTTACATTATTCGGACTCTTGTCCTCATCTTTGTGTGCCATATTTATTACAACGTTTCGACCCTTCAATATCTGTCTATATTTCTGAGATGAGGTATTATGTACACTATTTACATTATTCAGACTATTATCCTCATTTTTGTCACCATATTCATTACAAAGTTTCGGCCCTTGAGTATCTGTCTATATTTCTGAGATGAGGTATTATGTACACTATTTATATTATTCGGACACACACACACATACATATATATATATATATATATATATATATATATATATATCGGTCTTCTTTTTTTTCTTTACACTTCTTTCTGGTAGATTCAATATCTGAGTCCGCCATATTCTCTTAGTGGACTGTTTAA